ACCTAATTGTCATTATTATTTGAGATTAAAGTTGAGATTTTTTTTTTAATGACGGTCCGTAGCTATATTTAGGGCAACGGTGCACAACCTGCTCCCCCTTCCCGACTTTCGATTTTTTTTTATTGTGCAACCATTATGCAACTTGCTGCAATATATCTGCTCAAGAATAGTTCCACCGAAAAGAAAAATCCGTTTGAAATACGAATATTATACTTCCAACCAAGTAGTCCTACATACTTTATAATTGGGCAGACTGCACCTCGCATGGGTCAAATATGCGGTTATGACGTCATAAAAGCCAAAAATTTTGGGCGCGCGATATAACGTCTCATAGAAAAATGTGTCCGGAATTTGACTCTTTCGAATATGGTAACCCTAATATAGCCATATGGACTGATAAAGTTATTTTGTCGTGAAAAATAGCGGTAATACATTCTTATATACTGTTTTCTGTGAAACTTAAGTTTCATGCTTGAGAACTACAAGCAGTTGCGGTCGTTAACGGGGTTGCACACTTAATTCATTTTTTGCTATACGATCAAATTACCATATATATATATATGTATACTAATATTTATTGATGTCAATTAGTGGCCAATGCAACCGGCTATTTTACGATTACCTGATTACAACTCCTCACTGCTTTTCTTTTTCTAATAAATGGTATTTACTGGCAAGTGTTAAAAATACTTTTGTAGATAAAAAAAAAACAGACGACTTAAATTTCTCAGAAATATTATTTGCGAATAATTTGATTGCGGCGATTTAAAAAACCTCATTGCCGCTAACGACTACTAGTAAAAAACAAAACTATATTGCAAAGAGGGGCGGGCGTTTTGACTATTTGGGAATCCCTAAATAGTATGTAATATTTCCGAATTTAGATCTGAAGTGTCGTATATAAGGTTAGGTCATCGGCTTTCTCAGCTTGGTTGTATATAACGTAAAATGGATTCCGAAAAAAATGCGATTTGTTTTCTTGTCTTCGTCTCATAAATTGCACCGAGATATAATGATGCGAGGCGGTAGGTCACATGGAGTGTGTTCAGTGGATTTAGTCGAAATCGGGATTGCGCAATAATTGATTGTAGTACAGGTGTGGCTTGCGCAAATACATCGGCAATTGTGGACAAGAAAAAAGCGATCGGCCGATCGCTAATTTACCTTTGTGACGTAACTAACAGTAACGACCATGTAGACATGTCTGGGCATGTTCAAGCAATGCTGAAATATGACATGCTGGCTTGCATGCCTAATTGTCGGAATGGCCAGTTGATGTATATTGTATACGATACAATTTCTCGCTTGTAGAAATGCTTACCTAATCTTAATGCCATTCATGACAATATAATATTTCATTTTAAATAGTATTTAATATTAAATTAGAGAAAATTAATTTGTAAGAATGCAACCCTTGTACCATGGCTTGCAAAAGTAAAAAGTCCGCAGTGTTCAAATATTTCAAAGAAAGTGGAGATAAAAATGCACTAATCTGCCAAGTATTAAAGAAAGATGGGGCCGTTTGCAATCTCAGGTTCATCAATAAAACTTCAAATTTGAAGCGGCATTTGGAAAGACATCATTTTGATGCCTTCGAGTCTGTCAAAAAAGGAGACAGTGAAGACACAACGAGAGACAGCGATATAAGTAGACAAACCTCTGTCTCAAGCTACTTCACAAGTCAAAAAGTGACCATTTCCATGACTAAAGAAAAATTCCAGAGGCATATCATACAGCTGGTGGTGAATAATGCAGCTGCACTTCAACTGTTCTCTTCGAAAGCATTCCTCGGATAAAATGGAGAAATGGCTAACAAATTGGGAGTATCACTGGAGAGATATGGTGGTGAAGGAAGCCGAGTGTCAGAAAAGAGTGTTAAAGGATATATTACATGGGAAATTTTGTTTTTTGAAAATGGATGCTTGTACTAGACAGAGAACTAATTATTTCGCTATAAATGTTCAATTTGTGGATTATAAAAATGAAATAGCCATGCGTACATTATCAGTACGGGATACACAAGCTCGACACACAAGTGAATTTATTCAAAAATTTGTTGAGGAAGTTCTGAGAGAGTTTGAAATTAGAAAAGAACATATATTAGCGATTGTGACAGATAATGCCTCTAACATGACAAAAACAATAGAGAAACTTAATGCAGATATGATTGGGGACGAGGTTGAACGTGATGATGAGTTGAATGAAGGTGAATCAGATGAAGCTTTAGTTAGTGCTGTAAACAGCATAACAGCTGTTCATACCCTTCAGCTTGCTATTCGTGATGGTTTGAAAGAAAAGCATGTACACACTTTACTAAGTAAGCTACGTCAAACCTCAGTCATGGCTAGGACGCCTGAAATAGATGCTATATTGAAGCGTAGAACAGGAAAAGGTGCAATAATAGATCAAGCCACTAGGTGGGGTAGCACCTACTTAATGATTCAGCGGCTCTTAGAAATAAAAAACAGTTTAATTGACATGGCCAATCCAGACATAACCTTGACTGATTTGCAATGGCGACAGACACATCAATTAGAAGAATTACTTCGGGAGCCCTATTTAGTCACCAAAAGGTTACAGGCACAAGATTTGACACCAGGGTCTTTTTATAAAGAGTGGAAAAACCTCATTTATAAACTTTTACAATCCAGTAGCATCATTGCAGATGCTAATAAAGCATCTATGCTGCGCAGAGAGAAAATGTCTCCTCGATAACCCTGTATTATTAGCGGCAATTTATGTTGATCCTATGTACAGGGTTACCCTAAGTGAAGAACAGCTCAATAGAGGAAAGGCAGCGCTATGTGATATAGCTGTTCGAATGCACCGTGGATCACGAGCTACACAATTTGAAGACCAATCACTCTGTGCTAGTGGGCCTTTAAGGAACTCCTCTGATTCTGGTTCCGAATGCGAATAGATTTTGAAAAACACCTTGACATTGAAGCCAAACGTCGTCGAACAGAGAAGGAAAGTAGAAACTCAAATTCAGATCTATCACCGCTTTCCAAATTCAAAAAAGACTTCTTTTATGCTTTAAATGATGTAGAAAAAATAGATCGCTCATATAAGTTGGATATTCTAAAAGCCATCCCAGAATATCCAGAAATAGTTCAAAATGTGGCATATATGGTGACAGCATTGCCTCCAACCCAAGTTAGTGTGGAAAGATTGTTTTCGGCCCTGCGCATAATTCGTTCGGACCTGCGAGCCTCAATGAAAGAAGATTTAGTAGAAGCGATACTGTTCTTAAGAACAAATTCATTTTAAATGCTCGTATGAATTATGTGATGGCCATTCAATGTTCAATTAGTTTTTTATTCACTTTAATTTCAATAAAATTTAGTAATATTCTGTATTTCCCGGCAAAAAAGACTATGTCTATTTTATAGCTATCCAATAAGACGACAGAAAAATTGCTTTTCTGTTGGTCAGTTATGCACTAATATGCGCCATGCGGTAATAATTTTATATGGTTAGAAACAGATCATGTTTATTTGGTATAATCATACGCACAAAATTAACTATTCATAACAACAACGTGGTAATTTTAAGTTAAAAAGGTAGTGAAAATCATTTTGAATGTTTGTGGGGAATATGACAAATAACAGCTGGCAATACAAAGTCAATTAAATATCATGATTAGCAGGACCCTTTGGCGTCTTCGAATACATACGGTAATTAAAACTACTTTTAATAGGCAAGTTGTTATTTTTGAGTGTTCCAAAATTCCATGTACAAAGATTATTGCATTTCACGTTTTCTATCCTGCATCGACTGTAGTTTATAGAATAGGGCTCAGAGTGTCATTCTATTGTTCAAAAGCAATTTACCAAGTGAAATTTGTGTTACATACTTATTCACAAATGTGATTTAAGTATGGCCGTGGTTCGCCATATGTTTAAGCTCTTTTATCGGTTCCTATATGTAAATCTTTTCTTCACAAAATATATCAACCCAAATGTACGATTAACAAATCATGTTTGAGAAAACATCTGCAAAAAATACGCTGATCAGTTGGCCACAGAAATCAAGCAAGCCTAGCTGCCCAATAAGATGCCTCAGGCCAAAAAATGGGGTCTATAACAGCCGGGAAATATAGTAATATAAGATATCCATTGAAACTCACAATATTAAGTGTTAACTTGATTTTTCATGATTCCCTTACCAAGTGTGTGATAAAATCATGAAATAAATAACAGTGGGGCATTGACTTTTTGTGAATGATAAGCTTAGCGGTACTATCAAATACATTATAGTGTGCGGAGCCGGAGCTGGAGCCAGCTCCGGGCTAAAAAAATTAGGCTCCGGAGTTGGGAGTCGGAGCCATAGCTCGAATATACTCTGGCTCTGGAGTTGGAGCGACACTGATTTTAAGCCAGCTCCCCAGCCCTGGTAGTGGACATAACGATCGTTTCAATATTATGTTGTTGTTGTTCTTGTTCTTTGACACGTTTTTAAAAAGTCGCTTTTCTCTTCGAATACTGGACCAATTGCTTTGAAATTTTCAGTGGTTGAAGATAAAATTTTTCTCCAGAAGGCTGTTACTTTTTTTTTCGCTATGACGTCATCAAAATTATTGCCATTGGGTGGCGCTACGTGTCCATATATTTGAGCATAGCTCTCTTGTTGTTATTATTTATCTCCATCATTTTTTTTTTAAATCGCTTTTCTCTTTGACTACTGGACCAATTGCTTTGAAATTTTCAGTGAGTAAAGATTGATTTTTTTGCCAGAAGGCTATTACTTTTATTTATTTCTAAATTTCGCATGAAATCTGATATTCCGTCTAAGCGGTCCTCTGAGTCGCGGATCAAGAAGTTACACGCCTCTTGGTGCGGACTTGTTCTCTTTCCTTTTTTACCGCGACCAGTCTTTCCATTGAAACCAATGTACCAATTTCGGTCTCTTTCACTTCTATAGGAAATGTAGTATGCCGATGTGATATTTTCAACGAACTTGCATGAATTATCCCGGGACAGTTTTTTCTGTAAAAATAAGTATTTTATTTCAATACATTACAGAAAAAATAAAAGACCGGCCTCCATCCAATGCTATTATTAAGAAAATATAAAGGCTCAAACAGGTAAACAATCAGACTTTAACTAAATGGATGTGAAAGGATCAAAAGACCACCCAAGTACGTTACCCATTTTTATATTAAAAGGGTGAAATCGATTATCGCAAATAAATAAATATATTGGTGTTTTTTTCGATTTCACGCGTGTTTTTAATGTGGTTGAAGTTTGATCAAAAGATGATCATGGTCTGTCGTTCAAAAATAATTCCACATCTAATTGAATTAGTAACCCAAAATAAATCAGAATAAAGATATTCGAGGGTCATTATAGCGAAAAAAAAACACAAATGTGTTTGGCGTTTCTCTTCAATCAGGGACAGGTGCATTTTCAACAACTCCATTTGCATATCGACTGTTAAGATATCTGGAAAAGTACATTACTCACGTAACCGAAAAATCTTGTAATGTAATATGAAAGCGTTTGCTTGCTTACATGTTTAACCTTCAATGCCGACTTATTTAGGCGATTAACTGTACAAATGACTAACGTAGTCAGACGGACAGTTTGCCCTTGGCATCTTAATCCATCCGAGAGTAAACAAGGCGGGAAGTTGCTCATTATAGATTAATAGCCAGATAATGGAATTATAATTTCTATATTTCTCAACACCAATTCGATGTTACTCTTGCGCAACCAGTCGACGAATGTTTTTTATTGAATGATGTAGCCAATTATAATTTTTATAGCTTGTTTGCAAAGCTTGGTCTGTATATCAAATTTGATTGCTGGAATTTGTCCTCGAAAATGATTGTATTTTTATAGTTTCTAAGCCTCGCCCGCTATAGTTGAATTATCAGAACCAAGATTGTCCCTGATATTCAGAGCAAGTTCACTCAAATGAACGATTGAAGTGCGCTAATTACTGCTAGAGCAGTCGCCCCAGGCCCAAATGTACTCCTAACCCTTTGCCAATGCCGATTCTTTCAATACTATAGCGGATAATAGGGACCTGTTTGCGGCGGGTTAATGCAGCTTTTGATTAATGCAGTTTTTATTATCAACATGCATATAGCCCGGAAGGTACGTTTTACAAATAACATGAAGGGAGTAGTTTATTCACAGTAATTATAAGACTGATTCAACGTTTCCTGGATAAACTTGCGCATGAGTAAGCATTTTGTAGTAAAAATAACCATGTGCGCGGAATTAAATACAGCTTAACAAATAAAGTTGCCAGTGGCAAGTGAAAGTTGGTGTCGTTGCAAGATTCAGTTATTTAAATCATGTATCTTTGTATTCATATCAACATAATATGTGAAAAATATTGGGAAACTTACCTGAAATAATATATTATTGAATCTCATTCCTAGAATAGATTTCGCTTGTTATTTATTATTTCACTATATTTTGGTAAATGAATAAACAAATACCTCACCTTCGTGATAAGCTTTCCCCTTTTAGACATGCAAAGATATCTTCCGCTTTTCACACCGCGGATGGTGACAACTCCAAACGTATGAGATGTCTTTTCCATTTTAGCTGAAATACAATTTTGTCAAATTTAATTACTCGAATCAATCTTTGGTTAGTTTGCCCCAAAGCTGTCATTTCCTCAGAGTAATGGCAATCGTAACAGACCAGAAATGGTAATATCGTAAGAAAACACAAAAAAAGTCATAATTTTTGATTCTGCATGTCCTAATGTAGGATGAAAAAGAAATCACAAATTATTACAGTAACTAACTATAAAACCAATAAAAATTATTTTTTTATTCTGTTAAATATTTTGTAAATACATCACTATAATCTGTTTTTCATCCGCATAGCGGCAAATCATATATTTTATCGCGACCAAATAGATCACTTTCTGTTTTCCTCAAGCTCAATTTGTTCGTGTTTATTCAAAAAAAAAAAAAAGTCGGACACGTATGTCTTTGATTTGAAAAATGACAGAGTGACAATTTTAAAAACATGATATAACGTTGACACTAACGCTCTTCGTGACATTTTTGTTTCACCTTCATACCAATGCAAAACAAACGCTTCTGTAGGGCGCCGAATGAAACAAGAAAAATATAAATCAAGTGATTGACCTATGACCCATGGATTTCCGACTTATTAAGTTGTTTTACTGTAAGCATCATGACGAATATTTATATATAGTGATATCTTTGACAAATTTTTTAATTCCATATATCTTTTTACTATAAGCTACAGATACCGTTCTGGGCATATTTGTCTCGTTAAATAATAAAAAGGAATTTATGACAAAAAAATTATATAATCATTTCGATCTGGGATTTTTGATTTGGTCCAAAGGATTAATAAGCCTACAAGAAACAATATTCATGAGATAAACGGGTACCGGTGCAAGTCTCAAGGCGGTAAATACTAGGTAAATTCACGCACTAATAAAATATAATCATAACAATTCTCAGCTTTTTATTTATTTTTGTCTACATATAGCATCAAACACTAAATAATTGACATTGAATGAATTTCATGATCAATGTGGTCAATGGTTTGCAGAATTTTGTGTGAAAGAATCGTATATTTAATGAAAAATAATTGAGGTGGTTTAAAACGAATTTGCAAATGACCTTATATGCATCAGTCGCAGAAATGCTGCGTTTCGTAGAATATTTTACTTTGTGATAAGCCGTCAGCATACACCGTTACAAATTTCATATTTTATTGGCACACACGAATAATGATTAACGTCGGTTACGTTTCTAGTCTTGCGTCACAAATTGGCGTTTCATCAAGCATGAAATTTAACTAATTGGGTTCTCAGTTTTCATTCATTTTCAATGAAACCAATATAAATTTTCTACACTTAAGCTAGTTTTAATGTCATGGATTAAAAGTCAGGTTTACTTGCTATTTTTATGTTACAGCCCCAAACACAATAGAAACAGTCAACGTTAAAATCCCTGATTGAAGAGGCAGGTGCTAGAAATCTCATAGACTCGTATAAATCAAGTGTTCTAAAATTATCTATATTGATATCAACTTGAATGACAACAGTATTCAACAAATTTATTGCGGGTATTCAATTGTAAACTGAGCGATTTTTCAGAATGATTTGTTTCTATCTCACTATCCATTTGTAACACCAATAATGCTCAGTAAAAAAGACCAAATCTATCAGAGTAGAAATTGCCAAAGTATACAAGTATTTTGCTCAAGATTTCCAAGTAGAAGCAATTATAATGACTTTTCATAACATGAGACGCGTGGAAAATATTCTTTTCATCCTCGTATCTTTTGTTAAAACATACCGTCAAAGTAACTAATGAAACAGTCTAAACGGCGAGTTCAACTAAATCGTGTGAATGTAATACTTCGATGGCATTGAAGAAAAAAAGATGACCTTATGGTTGTACGCAAAATTTACTATACTATTCAGCTACCCGCTTGGTATTTCTAGAACTCGAAGCATTCCCAGTTCTTTGTCGCGGGTTTTTGATTTTTTAAGCACCCGGCGCGACAAATCCATGTAAGACGCCGTCTGTAGTTTGTTAGACAATCAACAAATTTTTTATCTTGTGAATACAATTTAAGGTATGCTTATTGATGTCAACACACCAAAAATCTCCTCTCAATTTTAGCAAGCAAACTTAGCAAAGAAAAGGAAAAAATCATAGATATTTTAAACGCTTTTAAATATTAATTCGATTTTTAAAACATGAGGTATATGGCCGAACCACAATCATCTTAATTCACGCATAAGTAGTTTTGATAGATAAGTTCAAGCATTGACTTCTTAGAAAGAGATATAGAGTTTTTATTGGAAGATAAATACTCACAATATTCATCTCCATCTTCTCCGCACGCTGATACTTTCTTATTAATTATTTGTATGTGTTTTTTCGTGCTTATTGAATAAATTTGACATATTCGAGGTTTCTGTGTGAGTGTGCTGGAGAGATGCTTGACAAAATCATACAAATCGCTTGTTAAAGCACCTTCGCCTACTGATGACGTCGCCTGAAAAATGAATAATGCATAAATAATAAAGTTAAAAATTTATAGGAACACAAACTAATGGTAAAGTGCACATGTAACTTTGTTCCTTGATTTATCTGAAACAGTATACTTAACGATCAAACGAAACCTCAGGTATGAATTGAATTCACCGCTATTTGACAGGAAATTAATTATATATGCTACATTTATTATTTCACAGACTGCATAGGCGTGGCTTGTCATTCACTGTGGTTGAATTAAAAAATAGCTAGTTCTACTTTGTATAAAGCAAGCGGTAAATTCATTCGCAAAAAATCTATATCATCACATGGGCAAAGTCCTTACACGACCGATGTTTATTTATATTATATCATAAATGCTTATTCGACAATATTAATAGAACTCCTTCTTTCATTAGAAAAGATCGGTACATTGAACCTTCGATACCGGCTAAGCCACATTCTACGCATTAGCAAGAAAGTGCAGGTAGGGGGATGGTCAATTGCACTATAACGCTATTCGTAGAAACGAATATGTTCCATCTATAAACCAGAATTTTGTGTGGGAAAGTTGCAATTTTGTTCTGTTAATATTTATTGATATCCGCGTTGTTCCTATTATTCAAAGCCAAACATGTTCTTCAAAAGTTATGACCGTTTTACGGCATTGTAGACTTGATATGTATGTAACTCCCGAAGATACTTTTCTATTTCTAAGCTTGTGGGGAAATGCTTTGGGCAAATCTCAAAGTTGAAAAATATTATTACCCAATTCCGTCAAAGATTAAAGAACAGTTGTAATTATACTTATGTCCTGGGGCAAGCAAGGTATGTCTAGCAAAATCAAAATATGTACGTATAAATTTACGTGTTTCATTGAGTTCTCATAAAAATGAATGCCCGTTTATATAATCGACGTAGGTTATCTTTCGCCGTATCGTTTGATGTTTTGTGTTATTTTATTGATGAGTCCTGGGAAGTTGATAGCACAACAATGTGCTTGTCGCCTATGAAGGACAATAGTCGCTTGTGCTGGGGTAAATAATATAGTGCTAATATTGGCAAAGGATTACAGTCATTATTCTCCACCTGATACCGTAGTTAACAAATTGGCTCGTTTGATAATATTCTTTTGTCAACAATAACGATATGCCACTATATATGTGCCGCCTATACATGTGCAACGAGCCGCCAAGACCAGCAACTAGGAATCAAAAGCTCCGAGGACCCCTGTTTGCTTACGACCTGTGATCATGAATCGAACGCCTTGGTACTGAATATAGCTCTTTAAAATGGCGTCCAACCACAGACTGGTTAACATCGCGAAACATAGTCGAGTCAAGATCTTTACTGTGTTATAAAAACGTGAATATAAGCAGTCGATTTAATATATTCAATTTGACATCAATGAAATTCATAAACAGACACAAATTTCAACATGTCGAGCATTAAATATTAATATATGATTAAAGGATATTACAATTATCAAAGTTTTTGTACTACAAAGCGTGAGAATATTAAACCGAGGTGAAAGACGTCAAAAACACTTGTTTGGCACCTGTGTTATTTATATAATAGATGAAACATCTGTATCATTTTGGTCATTCGGAAATCATCCGCCTGCTACAATGGCCAGACTCATGTATTAACTGTCAACGGTTATAAATAAACGCGATAATATTGGAACAAATTTTTACATTTATGTTCGTTCTCCCGAATCTTATTTCGCAAATTAACACGACTGGGGCGGTGGTATCGTCGTCTTGACGGAAACGGCTAAATTTGTCGTTAAATTGTTCGCTTTCTCACGAAAGGTGACCCAGCGCCAATATTTCTGAGACTATAAAAATAATTTCCTTTAGAATTTCAGTAACCGATCTTTTGACCCTGATAATATCTAAGTCCAGACGATTTTATAGGTTTGTTAGATTTATGGCAAGTGAAGACAATTATGTGAATAGCCGGGACCGATATCAACCAACAGAACGTCAAATTTAAGATCTTTTTCGCAAAATTGGTCCAATCATTTAAGTGGCCCGAGATAAATAGCTTCTTCAATTACGCCTGCGGTTGTGATCGTGCGACCTCAAATATATTTTTTCATAAACGTTTGATAGCCAGTACCGTAACGATGCTTTTGCAGTGACGTATTATAGTCTTTGATATTTTGCCCTGATGATATATGGTACAATCAAAATCCAAATACTATATCATTAGCTTGTATGCAAAACTGTCAATTTAATTTTGCATATTTTTGATTTCATTTTACAGAAATACCGAAATGTGCATGTACGACCGATCGTAAAGGCATGGTGAGTGAAATACATCCAATTGGTAAAATTAAAAATTAACGATAATTGAGTGCAGTGAGATTCACTATATGGTCCACTATATTCTTTGATTGAACGCCAATTAACTTGATAAAATAAATACGATAAACGTTACAACAGTCGGTGTACAAAACCGCCCAACAGAATTTGCATTATTTGATACTGCTCAACCAGATAATATATATTTTGAACACACGCCGTTGTGTATGCACCACAGTAACAAGTCAATTGCTGTCTGAGAGGGTTTCTGGCAACGGGGGTTCTGTGACCACAACATTGATATTTATAATATATTTGTGAATTTTATTCAATATCCAAGAGTGATGAAAAGAGTGATTATTGGGCTAGAAATCGCGGAAGACGCGCAGTCGTCTGGTCTTTCAATGTGTCAATAAGGTGCGTGAGAAAAACTAGAACACGGACGACATCAAAGGTTATTTGAAAGAGGTTAGGGTTTGGGCTTGGGGCACATGCTTCCGGTACAGGAAACTGCCTCATATTGTCGGCTATTTAAATGGCCGAAAATTGGTATAATCCGCAAGTCATTCGAGCAAATAGAAATCACACAAGAATGACTGGTGCCGCACCGCGTTTGACATGGGGTGGTGATAGACAAAACAGTGTCATCTTGAAATGACTAATTTAGTTAGTATTCACCTGTTACTGCAAGAGGTTCCTTTGTACTATAGCCTACAGTGTTTATTTGGTTTGAGTTGTGACTTTTGTGTAGATATGTGAGCTATCATTGCAAGAGTTTTGATAGTAAAAGCTCAAATTTAATTTAAAAACTTTTTTGTAAGCACATTTGTAAAACTTGCCAACTACGATATCATATGAAATCGAATAATTTGTTGTGATACATTTTTTTTCATCAAGCATTTTTTAACACCCTGTCATTTAAACAAATCTCCCCACTTATAAGAAGGATACGGAAAGAATCAAAAGAACTTCGGTTCTTATTCGATGACCGGTCGTGAATAAGTCAAGTAGCGAATCGTGAAATTTGATTGCCATTTAATACTCATACCCACCTGGTTTACAAGGTGTGCGGTTGGCGTGAAACACTGTGCACAATTTGGAAATTTCTATTTTGGGAAATGAGTTTGACCTCTTAGGATAGGATAGGATAGGATTTACATATTTATCCCGGGGGAGAGGAAAGCCGATAAGACGGCTTATCCATATGGCGAACCACGGCCTCTCGTCCGGTTACCATTCCGAGTCGGGTATGGGATTAGTTATATTGTTTTGTTTTCGGAAGCATGGACTTGGTGGTGGAGGAAGCCGTAACCGACCAGCGGTTACGTGAACCACCCAACGACGGCGAGGAGTCCAGCAATCCTCTCGCACATAATCATCCCTGCATGAGATTCGAACCTGCGAACCCACGCAGAGTAATTAGAGGTGCGGTGGCGAGCGTATTCCTAACGCTTAGCCCGTTGAGCCACACCGCCGCCACACCACCGCCACATCTGCTTGGGGCCAATTAAATAATTCCTCTTTTCAGGTTTCGCAACCCCTTCAAAGGATGTAATAAAATCCACCAATGTCACGTCCGGCACGTATCAATCTAGTCAATGTTAAAAATGTCACTGTAATTAATCTTCTGACAAGGAAGACTTGTGCGTGGAATGACTATTTCAAGCTCGACGCTGACTGCCAAAAGCTCCAAGACACAATACTTAATCAAAACAAATTGTTCAAATCGTAAAGTAGGCCTAAAGTTCAATTATCCCAATGGAATTGCACCAAGCATTTAGTTTTGAAATTATATATGGATATTTTTCAGAGCAAAATGACAACTTTTGGGGAGAGTATTAAGGAAATTGAATTTCCTTATGAATGGCGTTTGGTAGACATTGTCCTTCGTTAACTCGTTTCGAACATGAAACTAGCCCAAATGTCGGCTCAATTAACGAGTTATAGAGGAATATACCAATATCGTCAGTCCACTGTACTCGTGACATTTTAACATAAAAGTAAAACACGATACTAATAAACCAAATTCCATCCCCTCATATTCACCATAATTTGATTTTTTATCATAAAAGAAATCAAGATAAAATCATATAATCTACTCATTAATCGACGATTTGTATGTGACAGAACTTTTCCGCTATGGGTTCATTCACAAGTACCATTATTCTGGCTATATCATAAGACAGCTGAGTGGGTGAAAATTTTTTTTACCATTGATTATTCTTACGATGTAATAACATGAAAACTTGTCAATGTTACAGGCTGTTTGCAATAGGTATATTAATATCAATCAAAGCAGCGCATCTGCATTTGCAACAACAAGCCGCGCGCTTGAGGGCATTTAGTCTTGGCGAATATACGCTTCACGTTTGAGATTTTTATCTCCGCTTAAATGTGGAGATCATTGTTCTATTTTCAATATATTCCTGCAGTCATCAATTTCATGCTGCCCATAATATTTCTTCTACTTCATGACACACGAAGTAGATAGAAAAAAAAATCGAGTTTATTTATGAAATATCATTCACAATCTAATCAGAAGAAAACCGAACAATGACAGTTTGCCGCGAGTCAAAAATGATAACAATGATTTATAAAACGATGCAAGCTACCGCGCGAGGGAGACTAAGAGGGTAATGCGACGCTGAATTAAAGAATGCAGTGCCGCGATTCATCTCCGAAATGTGATACGTTGAGAAGGTATGATCTGAAACCACCCAGCCTGAAAAAGTTGTCTATCGTCCGAAGAATCATTTGTAAGATTGAAATTTTCCGATGGTCTATTTATGAAAATTTTGGGTTGCAAATTGTGTAGATAATATCCATGTTAAAAGATCAACAATACTATCAGATTTTATGTGACATTATAATCTTCGCTTGTATCACTCCTGATGTTTGCAGTGACCACCTTTTGTGTTATTTGATATGTGTGACACGAGGGAAAATCTGAAGTTTATCAAAATACAAATCATATCTTTTCGCTATGGCTAAACTACAACAGTGGGAGCACTGTGAGCTTCAAACGCCAATGACAAAGCACGAATAACGTAACTTTCATGGTCGATAGTTGGATTTTCATTCTCCGGGTTTCGGGCGTGTTGATATATCGGATGATATTTGTCTTGTATATTTTATATCGATGTATAGAGCTTTCTGTCATCTCACTTGCTAGATAAAACATCTCAAGAAAAACAATCAATGCGACATTTAAGACCAATAAATCTACGCCAGCAAAATAAACACACACGATTCAGAACCCCGCCATTAACGCCCGATGCGACCGCAAACCTTCTAAAGTCGAAAAATATACCCAAATCTTCGATCGAGGCGGCTATTTCAAAAGATATCACAGCCATTGCTTTACGCGAAGGAATGCGCTTTTTTAATCAAATACAAGGTATTTCATTTTTAATAAAATCATAGTTCACCAGTGACTATGTCGAATCGAAAATTTTAGAGCTACAGCCAAAGGCACATATACCAAACGTAGCGAGACTGTACCTAGCGAGAAGAAAAGCACTTTTTGTATGTGATAAACCGGCCACAAATTGATGGATAGCGATCGGGTAATTCAAATTACATGACGAGAAATAGGGTTTTGCCATTGTCATGTTTATGCAATATCCCCCTATATAGTTATAACTTAATATTTAGGTTTGTAACGTCCTTTAATTTCCATCACGTTTAGTTTTGCGTGTCTGTACGACATTGTTGAGGTTTTCGATAATATACTCTTCAACTACAGTCATTAATAGGCTTTCAGAAACCACTTCCACGCTGCATTATGACATTACGTACACATTGGGTACATCGCTTCATGCATATTGATTGGCTTCCATCGCATACAGTATCAAGATTGGCTATAAGTTATCAAAGTAAACTTTAAAACTCGTGAGAACAATGATCTTGTACATAACCGAGACAAGCCACGGATTAATGAAATCCTACCTTTTATACTTTAACACAGCTTTTGCGACGTCGCAAGTGTGAGATAGGTGCGATAAGATCCGATCTCCCGGTGAGTTTATTAAAGCCGTTGATCCAGTATTGTGTCCGCAGAATAGGCTTTCAGAAACTGTTTACGGTATCGGGCACTAATTAGACGTTACACAGGGTAGCAATGTATAATTAGGTACATATTTAATTGAATGGGATGTTCGAACAATATTGTCACGCGAACCTCAAATTTGAAAATTTGCGTATGGGTCGCAATATTACCCACGATATGCGTGCGAAAGCTGAAACTGGTAGCCACCGTGCTAGAAAAATTCAATAGCTTATCCTTGCGTCTGGTTACGGGCAGGTCAGAAATCAGGACAAATTTTTGACTCAGACATTGCAAATTCACGATAATACAATACTCATGCAATTCACTTGCATTTATTTCACTGATTTCTATCGATTACATCACTTTACATATATGTATGAAAACAAGGACAGGTGGATCATTAATTTATGGCAATTACCAAAGAACAATGCTAATCACAATTGGGAAAATCAACAAGATGCGTGGGCGATTTGTTCAACGATTTGTCGCAGGGGTGATTAAAAAGATCAAAGCGATTTGTTCATATTTAGACCTATATCACATGGTTGTCGTGTGTGTTGCAAGTCTCGTAAAAGTCCATGCTTGGAATTTGCATTGCCATACCTGCGTAGATTTATTACCTGTTACGACCTGGATTCGGTGATAGTTCTTTTTATGAGTTGCCAAATGCGCTCAATTTGTTCGTTCTATCAAACAACCGTAGTCGAAAATTTACGAGGCTTCATGCATTTACATGCATGTTACCGGACCGTGCCTGTCATTGTAATACGATTTAGAAAACAAATATAAATTTTACGAGCTGAATGAATAACCCACAAACAACAGGTTACCCAGTTAATGATTCGATCGCTGAAAGTAACTTAACAATGAAACTGCTCGCCTGACTACCTATGTGTTGTACGGCACGACGTTTGCTTTAATTAGGTCAAATAATTTCGTCATTCCACTTGCGAAATCTAAAGCCAACGAATTTTTAATAGAGTATAATTTGTTTGCCCTTTTTCAGCAAAGCAATGTCATCAACAGTATGTGAGCTGATATCTTGGACCTACAGTTATATCTCTGCGACAGTTGGTGGCCGCGATAAATTGGTATCAAATACCAGCAGTGCTACAATAAAACACGACAAGCTTGTTAGCCAATATAACCAAGCATAAAAGTCCGACTATCAACGATATATTTCTTCGAAGCATTTCATAATAATTTATATGTGTTAAGATTCAATGTACTTATCTTAAACGGGCTGAGTTGCCTAATTTGTATGACTGGACAAATAATATCGCAGTATGAACATTCAACCTGCACGGGAATCCAATCAATTCCACCAATCAAAAATATATTCAATATAAATATGCCAAGTGGAGAACAATAAAACTAATTTTCGCTTTATTATTTGGATGAGTTGAGTAGCTCGAGTTTTCTACATTCCTAAGGGTCTGTGGTACACAAAAGTACAAAAGAACTGAAGGAATAGATCGCTAGGATTTTGTATAATATAAAAACATTAGCAACAAAGGTGTACAAGCAACAAACACGCAATTTCGCATGTTGCACGCCCTATGCTCTGTGTTATATTGTCATGGCCTTTAACAACACACCTTCAAAGATAAACATCATTCCATACATCACGTATGTCGTATGAATATGGTGTGTAATTTTGATAGCAATAAATAAAAGAAACGTAATTGGGGACTCATAATACCAAAATATCTCACCGTTATGTGAAGAATGAGCAGCACTGTTGCAATAAATCTCCTGAAAAATATAAAAATTGTAAATATATAAAAAAAAATTCTCTTTATGGTAATTGTGCATATCTTTTTTCACTCGGACTTAGAAATGACTGATTTAAAATTTTCCTTTGGTAACAATACATCCCGGAGATCGCATTAGATTTCATTTCGGGTATCTAATCAAACTTAGGCAGTAAGATGATCACATTGGAAAATTTATAATTACGTTGCAGAAGCGAACTATAGGCTATTAATTTACTATCACCAATGAATCGAAAAATATTTACAAGCACACGTATGACGAAATGTAAAGGTATTTTAATTTAGGCGAGCGTGAAATAGAAGTATACGCGCCATTTGTGTACGCAATGACGACGACATGTCCTTTATATTCGAACCAGCTGAAACAATACGAGAACGAAAGAAAATTACTGACATTGAAACTGCAAAGCCTGATTTGTCGTCGTCACCATTAAAAAATCACTTGACCATGACGTCTAACAATCTGAGGGTTGTGCCAGGGACGATAATCGTTCGTGTTACCAAATCATTGACAAATATATATTGGGACGGTCATAACCCCTTTTAAACAAACATTGCATTTGTGAATTTATTGTGATAACATACCAAGAAATTCGAGAATGTTTACAGTCCTCGTAGGCACGTATTTGGTGTGATCCTCTCGACACGGCACAATTTTTCACTATTAATATTCAATTTAAATTTTTTATGCTTCCATTATAACACACGCCTTTTAATTTTGTCGTGCTTCATTTTTGAAGCCACAAGACTGCATAGTCAATAAAAAGTACAGGCACAGACAACAATACACGAATCGACATACCAGGGAAAGTAAATTTCAGTTTTATAAAATATACATAATGAAATATAGAATATTTCAAGAATGTTGAGTTAATACGTTAGTACACACAACGTCATAAATCATAAGGGATTAAATTCCCAATTACATTTTGACCTGAGAGGTATAAATAACTGTTACCACTTGATTATTTCGTCGTCTACGGAATGGAAAGTCCACACATACGCATGGATGGCGTAATTTCGATCAACCCACAATGTTTAATATTTGCATCAAGGCAAACAGACGTTTGTCTCTACTTCGATATGACGATGTTCATTCAGTGCAACTCGAAAGAAAGAATATTTTGCTTATTTTTTCTAGAATGAAATGACTTTTTTGTGGATATGCATGCAGCACTTCTTAATTTGAAATTGTAACATCATTGAGCTTCAAAGTTCATATGGTGTACAGTTTAGCGCATATTTATTTCAACGATTTATCTTTCTTCATCTAATATTTATTTTCATGCCAGTCTAACCCCACATTGAATAAGCTGATCAAGCTTAAACTATAACTGTGTTGAAACTTGAAAAACCAAAATGCTTTACGTTCGCGTTTGATCGAGCAAGACGATATGTCGTTACCGAGCCTGCATCAGAATATTGCAATTCGGACTAACAAATATTGGGGCAGAGACCGTATGTCTGCTCCTTCAGAGTCACTTGATTGCGGAGAATATAATTGATTTGCTAATATTTATATTACATGACAGAAGGTAGTATATTACGATTTTTGCGATGATCGTAACATACAGTGAGGCGGACAGTTGGTATTTATGAAACAAAACCAGAAGCTACTGTCTGCATAGTATATTAAATATGATATGGTAACATATGAGTTTATAAACTATATCTATTTTAAATTTGTATGTAGGTAACAAGTTGAAGCTGGCCATTGTCCGCAAACGCTGGTAACTCTCTCGATTCGATCGATTCCCAATATTTTCAACAACTCAAGTTTTCAAATTTAGATTTCATACATATGGGTGAAACGTTAATAAAAGCTTTCATAACTCAATATTGAGCAACATCTAGTTTGAAAGAATAATATGTATATTGATATTAACTCTTCAGAGCACGACCCGTTAATAAAATGCGATGCAGATGCTCGATTCGGCCATGGTCGGTGGTCAGTAAGAAACAAATCCTGATTGGACGAGCCTCAACTATGACGTCAAAACGCCGTTCAAGGGCCTAAAATGCTATTCTGCATCATCAACAAGACTCTCAATATAATTATCATTATTTTCGAGAATGACACGATTATGGGCACGTCGTCGGACAGGGCCAAGGGCTCTCTTAGACCCTCGAATTAATCTGTGATCTCGCGACCGGAATGTATCATGAATGCGTATTGAGAAATAGCGAACACTTAACATCCCGCACGGTAAACATTGACATAAACAGTTTATATAAGAACGAAACTGAAGGGAAAACTGCCTGACTATAAATCGAAAAGCTTCAAATTGTGTGAAACAAAACCCAAAACATTTTTGATATTTTCTAAATATATAAATCCATATATGACTATAATATATGGGTATGAAAAGTTTGTGTGCTTAAAATTAATTTTTGAGATGCAACTCACAACATTTATTGTATCTCGTACATGACATTCATTGATTGGAATTTAACACCAGTGTTTTCCCTTGGTCATTGGTGATAAAATATCTTTTTTGAAAACTGAATGATGGAATCAGGGATGGCCAATTCGAATAAAGTATTCGAATGTATTCGAATATCTCGTCATTCGAATATCGGAATTCACGTTCATAAGAATATCGGATATTTGTGTGACGTCACACATTTTCGACGCCGCTTTCAAGACGTTTCCGTTGAATGAAAACATTCTCGATAGTACCTTGCGCGTGATTGTTTTCATCACTGATGAGCGTAACGTAATATTTAGACCCGTAAACGCCTTTACAATTGTGTTATTTTCTCTAAAACGAAAATTTTCCACAAATTTGTTCCACGATAACATTTATTTTATTTTTGTACACCCACGGAATTGTGAATCTGGTAAATACGTTCATCGGCGGCGAGTTTCTAAAGACAACGCAACTTTTTGATTGAAAAGCGGCAATTTAAAATACTGAAAATAAAACCGTAAACAATATAAGTTTTATTGAGGCCCGCGCAAATTTAAAAAACGCTTTTCTAGGCAGTGAACGCAAAATTACGGTTTTATCTAAAAATAATCCGAGTGGCAGCATTTCGATCGAGCGGAGTCACTGTTAACAAGTACATCTAAATATTTGCCGAATTCGCGAAATACGTATCAAAACAATATTTAATCGGACAGTTTACCTCACGTTTTTATTTTTATGACCGCGGATTGCAATGGTATATAAGAGTGGTGAGGATTTTATTTTGTCGACACAACCGCAGGTTAAATTGAAGACAATTAGAATAATTAATAAAGCAAGACATTTTAAATATGCCGGTGTCGGTCACGAATTCATCACTTTGCACAACAGAAAAATATATATTCGTTGTTATATTATTTGTTGTAAAAGTCGACTCTTTCAGCAGGTGGCATAATCGCGGCGATGAATATGTATTTTTAATTCACTGCTAAACGTTCATTGTATGAAATGAATTATACTCTACACTTAACAGGATTTTATATAATTATTTGAGATTTTTCTAACGGCGATAACGAGTTGGCAGGATTGCAAAAATACAGGCAGTTTATCTCGTAATTTTAGGTCACAGATCGCCGTGAACGGAATAGTAATGTTTCTTTTTTGACGTAAGAAGAAGCAACCGCGAGTTACGTTGGACACATTAAATTAATATATAAAGATATTTTAGAATCTCGTAGTTGTCATGGATTGAATATTTTACGTAACAGAATGATCATCATTATACGCTGCAAAGGGTTCCATTACATTTGAACCCATGACATTTGCACCTGTATGCTATTGCACCTATGGAATTTTTTTTGTTTCACGGATAGTTAAACCCATACTAACCCTAACCCATGGGTTTTAGCACCCGCATATAGATTGAACCCGTGGATATACGCATGGGTTCAAATGTACATGGGTTCAAATGTACGGTCACCGCTGAAAAGACGACTCTTTTAACGAGCGCGTAATCGCGGTGGTTGTTACAGGCGGCAATGGGAAATTTGAAGGCATAATAGATTTTCGATTGGTATTGCCAATAAATTTTATTACTCTCAGAAAATATACACAATTATCTGAATACAAGTAGTATTTTTGTCAATAGACTTGACTATTATCGTAATATCATGGTACCAATGATAGAAAGCGTCAGACAACTCCTTGGCTATCTTTTCATATGGTCATTTGTACAAAGTGAATAATTTTAATTAACTGACTGTGTCACAAGTTGCTATTATTTTTTATTGATAGCTATAAACTATCAATTACTTTGTGTACATATACTGTTGGTTTGTGGCTTCATTCTGATATTTCTATTGAAGCTTATTTCCTAATTTACTGGGTTTTAATCAACTAAAACAAAAATGTGGTATTTTCGATTTTAGAATGTATTCGGAATTCCAGATTCGAAAACATTATTTTAGAATGTATTCGGAATAGTTTAGTATTCGGAAATGGCCATCCCTGGATGGAATAAAACAAATGTCTACATTGTTGACCACATAGGCCGACTTTCACGCCGCCTGCTCTATGAATCATATATTTTCTCAGGCAAAGAAATTTTTGCGCTAACTTTAAATTAGACGATTAATAACCATTCAAGTAGAGCTTGTTGTCAATACACGTAATTTGGGAATCAAGTTCCCAATTTAGATAATCAATATACAGTATTGCGACATCTGTCAACAAACTAGCACTTGAAGGCGTAAAATTATCACTAATTGCTAATCAATTGAGGAGATAATAGCCGCTAAAGAGATGAATTTATCTACTACTGACTCGATTTAGTTTGGGAACAAATTGCGAACAATCCACTAACACAACTAAAAAAAATCCATTTCTTGCCATAGTTGTTATGCTGCAAGAGTGTTGCTGCACGTGGATAACGGATAATTTGAATCTGAGACGCGGATTTAAATTAATGAATCAATCAACTTTTTGTCGAATTTTTCTTATGTCATGTTTTGACATCAAACATTGTCCTTGGGATATTTTTAGGTAAACTTACTTCGAAACGAAATACTGTCATTTGATAATGCACGGAGTTCGGCCGCGTATGACCCAGCTTCAAAATATCTCGAATCTTTTCTGTTATATCGGCTTAACTATCTTGTCTATACTTAAAAGTTCAATTCAAATTACTTCATAACAACAGATTGATTTGGACCGGAAGCGGCATATTGGAGTACAGCGTATGTTTATCCTAAGATTATCACTCAAGATATGCGGTTTACCAAACACATCAACACGATGAGAAATACTGTCTTTACTAACGCCAGAGTACGCGCTAGACTGTTGAAGGATTAATTTTTAGCGATTACATTACAAATGCAGAAATTTTACCAAACAACAAGTAAAATCCCCGATGACGAAAAGTCATTGTAGAAAGATTTGTAATTCGGCACGGAAATCGAGATATCGGGAGACAATTATAAGTTAGCAAGCTGCAGCCGGGGAATGGCAAGGCGGCATGTTTTCACCGTCATGGCCGTCTGGACATGACTGAAGCCGGTGGGTAGCGGCATTCGAATTTCATTTTCGCCAGCGCCCCTACAATTTGATAAACACTCAAAAGCGTGTGAACGTGGAATACGGCACCGGCAACTGCCATAGAACACCCTTCTAGAAATTGTCACTAAAAATGTAATGAAATACCAATCAAATGTCCAACTATAGAATGACGTTAAATCTGAGTAACTTGTGTTTCTCACGCCGAAACGAACGTTCAAGTAAATCATTCAAAACGGAATATGTCGACGAATATCTTACAGATGATGGAATTAGGATGACGATTTATTTTCAATATAAAACCGCTTTGATGTTGCAATTGTGGTTAAAATTATGTAAATCATTGAAACTTCGACAGCGAATATACAGCGAATATTATTGCCTCAGCTCTGAACGATACATTACAATATTGTCGGCCTCAATCAAGTTTTAGATCGTGCTCGAGCATAGCACCCTAGCTCCACGGGCGAAATAACGAACTATTCTATTACCCCAAATAGGAATCGAACTCGTTTGGTGTCGAATAAAGCGTTTGAGACCCAATTTCTAATATTTTATTTATAATATATAGAATGCAACGACTGAAAATTTTTGCACGGATACGGGGAAAACCAAATCTTTCCATTTCGACATGCATAATGAATTACGATTAGTTTTGATCGATCAATGTAAGCTAAAACAGCACGAATTGATAAATTTTTGTAAAATTGTATTGATGTCTAACAATTTTAATCAACTCTGTTTGTATTAAATACAACTGGAAGTATTCTTTGAAATTTATATTATTTTAAAGAAAAAAAAATGAACTGATTGTTCACGCTATAACAAGAAATAATGAACAAAATGTTACTTACGTAAAATCAGTTGAAGAATATATTCCCATTGCGGTAGTTTGAGTAACTCAAAAGTTCTTCTATAAAATCTTTTAATTTTGTATTTGTACCATTAGTCCATCGCAAAATATACAATAAATATTATTCACTCAGTTCGGTGCGTTCCGATTGTTTGGTGGACAACCGATGCTTGGTCGTGCGGGGAGAGAGCAAGATAATCCCGGCGACAAAGTTGACAGTTCTTCAGTGTCTCAGTGACATATATCCCAAAATGTACTGATATCCATACAAAGAAGAAAAATTTTTCTTGTAGTAAATTTTGCAAACTGCAATTTCTTACCGCTCCTATAAATTCTAATTTCGTTTCTGTATATCACTTGTCGCTAGTGCTTATGATTATAATCCTGTTAACAGACTGTCACAAACGAGAGAAATTGAATGCAATGCGTCCTAAAGAATGAACGGCGCAATTAATTACATCGACGACGCGAGCCAAGCACCAAGGAAATCCGCAAAAGCGCGAAAGCTATGGAAGTATATGATACCGTGTCCTAGATTCCTCATATCACAAATACGCGATCACGAAGCCATAACAATTCATAGAGATTAACGAGTGACGTTTCCTATCGGCTTAGCTTAATAGTAATTTCCGGACCATGGTTGAATATAGTGATACAAAAAAGACACGCCGTTGCCAGATAAACTAACCCAAATATATGCAGTACCTGCTTCTTCATCGACAGTCATTTATAAACAAATATAAATAAACGTTTTTGAACCCAATATTATTTAAACATCCTTATTCAATTCCTCTTTTAACCGCATAATACCGTTCAACATCAGATGTTGTCGCAATAAGTGTAGAGTTAAGAGGTTCTACAGGTCCTATTTCTGATTATTGGGCTGTCTTGTCAATCTACTTCCGTAGCTAACTCTCGACACAGTAGTAACGCACACATAAACACATCCAACTTGTATGAAAGAACTTGTAATGAAAGTATATTTACAGTATATACAAGTCACAGTCCAGTAAAATTCCAAAATCAGGTTAAAAGTTCCACAGTAGATAGATAAATTTCCACAGCAAGTATAACGGCAGTGTAACACAGTGAATGTAAAAACTTGATGTCTGTATGTAAATGTATGGTATGTATTGTATGATGTGGTTACCCAGACTGGATTCCATGGCAGGTGCACGCCCGAGGGCGCTAGCGCTCCGCAAAAATGCACGCGAGCGAAATCAATTTTGCACGCCGAAAATTTGCAACTGCTCACCAATGTAAATCGGTTTGAATGGTTTTAAAATCAATAATCCAGTAATATAAAGATGCCAAAATATTATAACTCCACAATTGTCGACAAATACCAGCCTGCAAGATTTGGTCTGATCGAAATATTGCGAAGCAAAAAGACCATGGACCTTTCCCCAACCTTTGACCCGCGAAAAATTCCTCTCATTGTTACGTCCTTTTTTGCATCTTGCTGATTGGCCAATGTCACGAAGTAAACAAGGAAGTCGATGCTCGGGGAAAGGTTCATATCGTGTTGAATGATAGGAAATAGGAATCCCGTGAGAATAGTTATGGACGAAAAGATCGCCTCCGCACCAATGGCCAAGTACGGCTCTGATTCAGCGTATTTTTTATACAATAATTTTACACGAATGTACTGAACAGTACCGTTATCTAAAGTTGCTCAAACACTCCCAAAATTAGTGACAAAGTATGAAAATAATGTTTGGGGTCAAAGGTCAAACGTCCATTTTGCTCTAATTTGACGTATTTTTTATCCATTAATTCTACGTAAAAACACTACCAAAATTAATGACAAAGTATGTCCATTTTGCTCTGGTTCAACGTATTTTTTATCCAATAATTTTACGCGGATGTACTGAACAGTACCGGTATCCAAAGTCGCACAAACACTCTCAAAATTAGCGACAAACTGTAGAAATAATGTTTGGGGTCAAAGGTCAAACGTCCATTTTTTCTCTGATTCAACGTATTTTTTATCCGATACCGGTAATTTTACGCGGATGTATTGAGAGGTATCTGATGTCAAAGTCAGTTGCACGCGAGTGCAGTTGTTTTGCACGTCGTGAGCTATAATTGCACGCCAGGAATTCTTATTTGCACGCGGGAATTTCTGATTGCACGCCCGATTTCTCGTTCAAAAAGGCCATGAAATCCAGACTGGGTGGTTACAATGTATTTGTGTCTCCAACCCAACAACAGTACCGTAAAAGCGCCTAACTTCGGACAAAATTACTATATTTTCGTCAATAACTCGGCCATTTATTGTCCAAACGGTGCCAAAATTGCTCGGTAAAACATTCGTGCGGTAATTTACATTCCCTGCAAATTTCGGTTCAATTGGACTATTTTTACTATTGAAATAATCGATATTTCTTGCCATCTGACCGTTATCCTTCACTGCCCTAACTTCGGACAGTCATTTTCTTCACGGCGTAACCGCGACGCACAGAGAGAAAGAGGCTTCCGATGCGGATGACGTAATCAATTCGTTGCGTGAAGATAAGACGCTCGATCGTCGTCGTAACGTAACATTGACGTCACGACGAAAATGCATTATTTGAAACTTCCGTCGTCCTATGTTTACATCTTTCGTTCGTTATTTTCGATACTTCAGATGAGTATAATAACACGTTAGTCATTTTAATCAGGAAATGCATACGTAAATATATCTGATGCAAACCGTTTCAATCCACAATGAAGTATTTTAACGGGCTTCTATCGAAGTCTTTGAAGTATTAATATTCTCGACGGATAGCTTTTTTTTATTCTGCGCGGTTATCTTTATAAATGATAATTTATATCAAACACACGGTAAATCCGATTGTAAAGTTTAATTAAAATTCAGCTTAATCTTGTAAACATGTAGGTCCCGTTTATTTGTTGGAGATTAAATTTATTTTTAATTTCGAGTGAATAAAATTCACCCAGGCCGTATTCAATAACTGTCATTTCGACTACTAATCATAAAATAATGGTTAAGTCAGTGCACTGCCATATGGACGTTGGAATTGTCATAGTTTTATATATTCGATTTTTAACATCATCGATTAAGTGTGACATGTATTTTCATTAATGTAATTTTGGCATATATTTATACATGACCGAACAAAATACAAAAATATTACATGGAATGCCGTCTTATCTTAACGGAAATTGTCATATTGGCTCCGTTGTGTCTGGCGTCAAAATTCATTTCCGCGACGCAGTGTGACGTCGTGTCGGAAGTGAGCGAAAAATAATCTACGTGAGGTTGACGTAATTTTGACGCTGCGTGAAATCTTAATATTCTTACGGAATTTATAATTCAGAATTTAGGTTTTATTTAAATCTCGTACGAACATCTTGCGATCACTCAAATAAATTATATACATTGTTGTCGCCCTCTACCGAATGATGGTATTTTTACGATGATAGCTTCAGTAGGAGCGATGCTCTGCGCCGTTGAATGCCGGGCAGTCAATTTTCGGCAAAATTTCCGTTTTTTCACCAAAAAAATAATTATGCAACATTAAAAAGATGAGAATAGATGTAGATATAACAGCGCAACCTATAATAATTAAAATTAGCAATATACGGCGCGTTTTAGCCAAGATATGGCCGTTCAAAAATTTTGTCCGAAGTTAGGCGCTTTTACGGTACTTAAATTTAGCTACAAGACACAAAAACAAGAAAATACGATTAGCCTCATATGCAACTCAATTAGAACCTAAATTACTTAATATTCCTAAACTACAAACTTACCTAAATATCTTAGCAATTCTAAATTAGCATAATTAAATCCCTACAATTTGCAACTCAATGCCGCAAAGTAATCGCAGCTACTAACAAAGAAATTCATGTGACCAGGCCTCATTGCACTGTCTCCCACACTAATAAATAGGACATTTAGTATAATACAATAAGAATAACAAGGGCATGAATACCAATCAGCTGATATAAGAGAGTATTGCACCATCATTGCCAAGACTTCAAACTTTCTCTCGGTCAGTGACGCTTAATATAAATAAACAAATAAATAAACGAGAGCAAGTCTGAACATGTTTATCGGGAACCAGAATAACTAAAACTAATAGGTTAATTCACGAAAGTTAAATTTCTGCCTGTAACAATAAGTTCAAAAACTTGAAAGAATGCCGTACAGAAATACATCTGTCTCGTTCTTCGTGACTACCAGCTTTTTCCTGAAACCCGCTAATCATAAACAAAGCGACGGATATGTGACCAATTATCCACCTCAATACGCTTTGAGAGGGGTCCAATGTCGGTGGTAAATTCAAATAAAGCGTTTCCTATTCAAAAAGTGATTTTCGAAGAACCAGGGATAGATCGCCTAAATATGGATGGCTTAAAACTGTGCCTCAAAATGAACATAGCTAAACAAAAGGGTTTAGTAAATGGGCTTGGTTAAAACGTTTTTTTTATTATTAGGATTGCGGATTAGCTTTGTCCTTGGGCGAAACGTGCCACTAAATAAAAACGGTCGGAATAAGCATGTCTCACACATTGTAAACGGAATAAATTTTAATATTGGACTAATTTTAAAAGGGTAATAGTGCTAATATAAACCTTAAATATTACTTTTTCAATATGTCGACCTAACCATACACATTTAGGTGAATTACACGCTACTTGTGAATCATAAATATATTTGTAAATCGGTTACGTGTTTGAATGGGTACTCCAGAAGTGTGTACACCAAGATGGCGGACACCGGAACGTCGTATGTGTACCAGGTTAGGGTTGGGCCATTATTTTAGGTACAAATACTACAGGAGTCACCTGCCTAGTCACCGAATTCGTAATAGAACTAAAATAAGGAAAATTGAAATCAAATTATTGTCTAATCCTAACCTGATACACATACGACTTTCCGGTGTCCGCCGTCTTGGTGCACATATTTTAAAAATAAGATGTTTTATCACAAATCACTTGACCAAACTTGACCTTTCATAGTTAAGATCAGTTTAGTATTAGCGTTCAAGTTTGAAGCCACAATCTATCCTTACTCACATTATGCGTATATATACTTCTCTATTATATATATTTCGAGAACATACTCCCAGCTAAGCCATTCTCGGAAATACGAATCACGACGGCAAACGTCTCTTTTGTGACAATTAAACATATTGGAATTGAGAAAAAGGCACCGTACTCGATCAGAATCGTTTGGTTCAAAAAAAACGGAATCATTAAAGTATCCAGACCACAACGAGTCGGATAAGCATAGTCCAAACGTTTAATTTATTCATTAAAATAATCAGAAAAAAATAGTAAGAAAGTAGAGAGATTTATAAATCAACTGTGAATTATCAGAGCAATACACTCTTAAACGACACACTTCATTAAGGTAGTCAACATGTTATATCACCATATAGATATTCTCTTTCCATGTTTGCATTGAAAACATCAATCGCTATTTCGTTCAATATTTTAATTAATGAGAAAATGCCTTAATTGCTGCAATATTCAGCATGAATTTTTGATATATCGCAAGTAGTTAAATATTCACATTAACTGTTAATTTGATGTATTTTCATTAGGATTATTAACAAATTTTATTATCATTTGAGTTCAGTTCGCATTTTTCATATTCTTCCAATATTCGAAATACTTACCAATGGCATAGCGTATTCGTAAACAGCTTGTTTTTCGACGCAGAAAATTATTTTATGGCTGTGTTGGCTTAGAAACAGGCTTCAAGTAAATTGATCTAATTTCGATTTTATTCTGTATTGATCTCATATTAC